CATCTATCTGAATGGAATATTTAAGCCCATTCAAGCAAGGCAATCAACCAACAATGTTACTTCGTGCACCGGTGAGTGCAAATTCCCGGGCACTTAAATGTTCAATCCTCTTCCACCTTCAGATCACGAATGGCGTACATGTCAATCTAACTCCTCAGATTTAAGAAGATTGAACAGGGATAGCTGTTGTACCCCAAAATTTTATCTCCAATTTCCAAGACAAATCAATTCAAGATACTCCCTCAGACTCAGATAAGTTTCAATTGCTCAAGGGTACTCAAGGAATTGATCAGACAAGTCTTCCTCCTAAGAAATTCACCAACAACTAGGGTTTTGTTTTTCTCAAGGAAAATTGAGCTTTTAATGCCTCAAGTGGCTTTCATGGTTCCTTATATGCTTCAAAGAATCCTCATGTTAGGTTCCAGACCTTGCTTCACGAGTTTGCTCAGTCAATTGCTCAGATGAGTGAAAATCAGTTGTATTGGGTAAAAAAATCAGCACTGATCAATCTACAGTCAAACTTCAATATTTTTGGTCAACATAAATATTTTGAAGTCAACTTCATAATTTGATCAAGGGTTGATCATGATTCATCAAGAAAACTCAAGATTCATCAAAAGACAAAAGTTACTAAATTAGGGTTTTCTTAAGGAGAAGTCAACTGAACTTTGACCAAGCACAACTTTCACATACTTCATCAGAAATTCCTCAACCAAATCCTATTTTGAAGAAAATTCAATTATCTACAACTTTGCATCTCTAAGCTCAAGGCCAAAAATGCCTCATTTGAGAGATATGAGCCAAAACTTTATAGGTCATTTTGAAAGTCAATAATAAGAGACTTTTTGTGAAGGCAATTTACATCAAGTTAAAGACTTCAAATGAAAAAGTAATCAAAATGAAAGTAGTAGGAGACATCTTGAGGTTTCCAAAATTTCCAAGATCACCTTCATATGATAAAAATTGAGAGAGTTATGATTGGGGCAAGTTGAGAAAATTTGGAGAAGTGCATGAAACTTTCATTGAACAATTTTGAAGTTTTTTACTAATGGGCCAAACTTTTGAGGTTCAAACATGTTTATGACATGTTAGAGGACCTATAAGTAATTTTGTACATGGACATGTTTTTTATTTTATTTATTTTAATTTTATGCAAATATTATTAAAAAAATCAAATAAATAACAAACTAATGGATCAAGGCACATTGGACTTTGTTTGAATCAAGTTAGAGGTCCAAAAAATACGTGACAAACATGTCAAAACCGTGTATGGCATATTTGGAAGGAAAAACTTCAATTTTGGAAATATTTTAAACAAAATATAGAAACAAATCATACAAGCCTTAATTCCATGAGATTTTGACCTAGAATGTTTGGCCTATAAATACACAACCATGCTAGATACAAAGTGGATGGATAGTAGCTTGTAGAGCCAACCTTAATTCTTCAAATTTGCAAAGAAACTAGGGCACTAGTAAACTCTTTCTCCAACAAGTTTCAATCAACTTTGAGCATTCCATTAGCTTCCTGAGATCTCAAGAAGTCGTTCTCGATCACTACTCAAGCCTACAACATCTCAGAACTCTCCAACCAAACATCTTCGGTTTGTTCATATTTTGCAATTTCAAACTACTTATTCATGCAATATAAATGAATTATATGCATATAATCATACTTATATTGATGATTGGAATTATTTTGAACCATTATTTTCGAGTTTGAGTGCAGGTATCATAATTCACCATGGTTAGGGCTCAAAGCTCTCAAAGCTTCGAAACCCTAGCTATAAGCCTTCTCAGTCAAAACGAACACCACCATTGAATCGTGAGGTCTCAATTAATGGATCTGGATGCTTTTCTTTTTCATTTTGCTTCGACTTTGTAGGTTTGGCATTTGGTCTCACTGGAGAAGAAGGTGGCACCACCGTTGGTGGTGGCGCTGACCTGGGTCAAGGGCATGTGTGGCTCCCTCCCTCTCTCTGATTGTTCCATTTAAAAAACTTCTAACCCACCACTAGCGCGTGTTTTCAATTCTTTTTTATTTCTTATTTTTTAGAGTTTAACTTGTTTTATATATATTACGTGTTATTGAATTGATGCGAAAAAACTATGGCCTTATGGTAAGTGAGATGCTTGTTAAACGAGAGGGCATGGGTTCGATCCCCCCTTTTGTCAAAATCTTTTCTTTATTTTCCAGGTTAACGCATGTTCATTATATGTTTATTGATACTCATTCTCAATCACAAACAAGCATATGGCATGATGGACGAAGCTATCACCTTTGAGCCAAAGGGGGTAGGTTCGATCCCCACCCCATGCATCTTATTTTCTCAGTTTTTCTAACCCTTGTTTTCATTCCATTTAATTATCTATTTTTCTAATTAACCAAAAACCATAAAATACCTTTTCAAAATATAATTAGTTTTAAATTTATTTCTTAACCAATTATTTTCTTTAACTAACTAGACTTTAGGTTTTTATTAATTAAAATAAATTAGAAATTAGGTTTTTTTTCTAATTACTTTTAACACTTAAATTATTTTCTACAAAAACACCAAAAATATATTTTCTAACACATAGAATCTTAAGGTTTTAAACATCTTTTTCTAATACTTTCATTCATCTTTTGCCAATTATTTTCTTAGTCAAGTGTATAGGACACACTCTCTAATGTAATAGCGTAGATTTATTTTTCGCATCTTTTTTCTTATCATGTAACTGCCCCTAAGGCCCTATAATAGCGTAAGACTTAACTTTTCCGCACTTATACTTTATTCCTTGTATATATATAATTTTTTAGCTAATAGGATTGTATGGCAAGAATTAAAATCAAATGTAAACAACCCTAACTCTAAGATAAAATAACTGAAAACAAACACTCTTCACACTTGCACTTTTAGCGTAATCTCTCTTGTTGTCTTACGGATATTGGTCATGTCCCTCGAAAGTATGGATATTTTAGCAAAAGACCCTCGATACAATCATCATGTTCCTTACGATACAAAAGATCATAGTCCATCGATGTCCCTCGAGTTGTCTACGAAAAGATTATCTAGTCCCTCGATGACCCTACGATAGTCCCTTCGATACAATTGCTAAAGTATCCTTACATGTTGTCTTCTATGATCATACGATGACCCTACGCTTGTCCCTTCACATCTAATAGATAAGATTATCTACCAACTAATGGTATGGATAATACTATCTCCAAAAGAAAAAGAAAAGAATAGAAAAGACAAAAACCTAGTGGGTAGGACTCTTGAATGCTTGTTCACAAACAAAACATTTTCCCACATCATACTTTCAAAAATAAAATATTTCAAAAACACTTTGTATACATTCTTGAGGACTGATACAAGAGTTATTACACAGTCTGCGTTACGTTGGCATTTCAAAATATTTTCAAACAATTCACACACAAAGAGCAAGCGAGCTAAGCAATTAAGAGCCCGTATATAACTACAGATGTAAAAGGTGCTAACACATTTCCTTTACATAATTTACCCTCCTGAACTCAAAAAATTTCAAAGATTTTTCCCGTTCTTTTCACCTTTCATAAATATTGGATAAAAGAAAAGTCAGTGACAACTCTTACTAACTAGACATTTGCAATAACACTAAAAAAATCAGTTCTCCCACTATATTATGTTCCAAAATAACTTGGTCAAATAGTATATAAAATTGCTTGCAATGTAATTTTGTAAGAATTGAAAAATGGAACATATTTGATATTTTTTTTAAAATAATTTATTGAAAGTAAAAGAAATGTAACTTTTATCAACAATTATTATTAAAAAAAGACATAAACAAAAATAAAAATTAGTAAATAGTGAAAATATTATTTATTTATTTAAAATATGAAATCATGGTCAAAGTTTAATAAATTTTAATATAAAAAAATTAGGAATAAAAACATAAAATATTTTTTAATCAAAAGATATATATTACTTTTAAGGAAAACAACTCAAACTTTCTAGAATAATTATAAAATATCAAGTTATTGCTTTTAAATATTTAAAATAAAAAATATATATAATATTTATATTTATTAAAATATATATATTTATAATTAAAAAAATTTTGAAACGATACAACCCCTAAATCCACAGATTGACCACCAATTTCATAGCAAGTAAAAATAACTAAAAAGAAAATTTTAGTATTAAATTATTATATCAGTCAAAGAAAAAAAATAAAAAATAAATGTTGTAATTAAAGATCAATTTTGAATTTAGCCTATAAAAGAAAAAACAAACACAAGTGGAACGATGCGTTTAACCGAGACTCTTCTGCCACCGTCGCCTCCTTCAACCACCGTATTAGGGTTTTCAGAGTCACACCTTCCGCTCTATTCGCTCACCGGAGGCAATGCTTCCGTTCAGCAATTAACAGTGTGCTTTGAAATTCCCACATTTTGATAGGCGAAACGTCACTGCAATTCCTTCGCAACGTTCGTCTCGGGTATTCGCCATATCAAAATTTATCAACATTACGGTAATTTCACGTTAATCTCTCATTGATTTTAACCACTATGAAATGATTATTTTCATGAGAATTGAAGATTTTGTGCTTTGAAATGTAACAATTTTGTGTTTTGGTTTTGTTTATGCTTGATGAAAGGGCTTTTGAGTTTAATTACATTTTGTAGTTATTAAAACGGTTAATTACTGTTTTTATTACTCTAATTGCATTTTGGAATAATCAAAACATTAATTTTCATCATTATTTAACATGCTATGATTATGGTGTTTTGGATAAGAATTACTTACTACTACTAATGAACATTTAGTACTATATGTTATTTTATTTCAAATTCAGTTTTAATTAAATCAAGGTATCTCATGTTGATTTTGTATGAATTATGTGATTTGCTAAGTTTTTGATTGATTTTGTTAAGATCTTGTTATAGTTGTAGAATTTAGATATTAGATTATTGTTTCGTATTTAATATTTAATTGATTGTTTTTATTTTTATTTTTATGGATTAGGTTTCGGTTCGAAATGGAAGAGGACAAAGGAAATAAGCAGGAACCGAATGCTTCTGCGACTGAGGTTTTTATGGTGCCCGGAGAGCCTGCGGTTGTAATCAACGGTGTGCCTGAAATGGTTGGCGCGAGCAGCATTGTCCCTTCCAGTGACGCGTTGAGCGTCTTTGAAAAGGACGGGAATATGGGTTTGGGTGATTGGTTTGTAGGGAGGGATATCCAGAAGTTGTTTATGGGAAGCTATTACTCGGGTAAAGTAACCGAGTATGACAAAGAAACTGGATGGTATCGGGTTAAATATGAAGACGGTGACACAGAGGATCTTGATTGGCTGGAATTGAAGGAGGTTTTGCGTCCTATGGATGTTACCGTTTCGCTTAAGACCTTGGTGAACAAGGTTATTCGGAATCGTAAGAAATCTATTCATAAATCTGGGAAGAAAAGTGCTAGATCACAAAATTCCCAAATCAAAATAAAGAAAACAAAAGGAAATTAGATTTGACAATAACAATAATTGAAAATTTATTGTTTTGTAGATACACAAATATCAAAACATAAAGCAAGGAATTGAAGAAGGCCTTGAAAATGATGAGGTGAAAGAGGAATTAAGAAATTGGTGGTGATGGTGAGATGGACCATACAAATTTTGTTGTACTTGTAAGAATAGGATTACTGTTGTTGTTTTTTAGTGTTAGGGAATTGGTTTTCCTAGGAAAATTTGAAAGTTTTGTTGCAATAGTGATTGATGTTTTGTTGTAACATGGGAATTAAATTGGTATAATGGCATCAAAAATATTTTTTTTTCTGATTATCTGTTCATTTAGAATCCGCAGATATACTTTTAAGATTTGAAAGCTTCTCCTAGATATATTTCTATGCATGATGTATTATATTTACATTAAAATCTGTAATAAACAGGGGCAGAGTTTGACGTGCCATTAGAACAGAATATTATATTCCATTCTAATTGTTCTCATAATTTCAGAAAATCTAAATGGTATGTTTTGATTCATTTTAAATCTTTTGTATAATAAGATAATAGAATAAAATCATTCAGGCTAAAATGTTTATCAAACTATTCGTAATATTATTCGCTAAATCAGCAATATCAATATATTATTAGATTGAATATTTTTGTTTTTGATAATGTTGTGGCCATAATTTTCTATAACTGCTATCAATATGAAGGTTGAGAAATATGTCTGGTGTTATTTTGGTAACGAGTAAAAATAACTTATGAAGTATATGTGAAAAGTTTAATGTAGTTAATTTAGTCTATATTTGAATCTAACATATTTGACTTTTTTGTTATATTTTAGACCAAATCCTTGTTGAATTCAAAAAACATTAAACCAACGCAACTTGGAGTATACGAAGAATGTAAGTAGATTGGTGTTTATTCAGGGGATAGTTAGTTGGGAAGCTTTGAAGTTAAGTGAATTAGTGGTCATAGTGAGGTTTTCAGGTCAACTCAAGGTGGAAAAGAGTAGGAAAGAGTAGGAAAAAGTTGCACTTGCATGTTGCAAGTGACACATGATATTGAGGTGTTGCTTGCATCAAATGTGAAACTAGATTCCATAATAATCTCAAATATTAATAAATGGCAACAAAATCCCCCCAAAAAATTATGGGAGGTGACAGTCTTTTTTGTCTGAAATTACACTTTCAACCAAGAGAATTGGGAGGAAAAAACTAAGAGAAATGAAAGGAAAAAAAAATATTCAGAGGAAATGACAAACACCATTCAAATTTATAGACATAAAATAGAAAATTTATGATTCAAACCTGAAGTACAAGAGAAAATATCCTGTTTAACTTTAAGCGTGTCTTTGGTAAAGAGGTGGCATACCGCACGTCCTGAGCCCAATTGTACCGTAATTTTGAGGAGCTATCAGTTGTAGTTTTTGTGAAATGTGCGGTGTTACCGTCATTTCTTTCAAAAGCCAAACATAGATTAAATGATAAAAAGTGAGTTGGATGTAAGACTTATATGGTGATGATTGTTAGAGATGGTAAAATAGGTCTGATCCGTTGGACATGCATGTTTTATATATATTTTAATGCGGAATGAATCAAGCATTTAGACTTGCATTCTTCAATATGTCATTCCTGTTCCGTTCTGATTTTGTTTTTCAGGCTTTGACGGATACGTGTATTAATATAAAATTTATGAATTTTTAAACTTAAGGTCCATTGCCCGTGGGCCCTCCCCATTCTGTATTTACTTTTTTACAGTGCGGATCTAGGTTTTAGCCTACACTCTCAACTATATATGTCATGCCGCTCCGTTTTTAGTAGACTTTTGCGAAACGAGTCTAAACGGAACAGACATGTCTATTTACCATTCCAAATGATTGTCCTCACTTATATAAACACATATTCAAGAGATATAACGTAAAACTAAATTATTGGTGCTTCGATAGTAAAAATATGATAGAAAGTGACCTACTAGATTTTAAACCAGTCTCTTTTACATGTTAAAAACTGTGGTTAAATCTAAGTTAATTTTACAAAACCGACTTATAAAATAATGATTATCCTCACTTATAAACACATATTCAGATAATATATTATTTAATATGAAACTCTTCAAATTTACAATTATTCTCGGTTAAGTAATGGAAGGTTATGCCCAATCTCTCTTTTATTATACTAATTTCAACGATAAACAAAATTATTCAAATTGATTGTAGTCTGCATAATTCAATCTGTTTGTTAACGCATCAAGCTATCCAATTCATTCATAAGTTCTTAATTATGTTTTTTTTTTTTTAGTGTTCCGTTTTAAAATCTATTAATTTAAGAGAGATCACTCCAATCGTCCAATTCCATTTACATTTTCCAGATTCCACGTTTCATCAAATGGATTGAATCCTAATTCTAGTACATTTGTAGATTTTTATTTCATAAACTGCTTCTACATTTTCTGTATGTTCCAAAATATTCCTTTGAAATGTTTTAAAATTATATTATTGCTTGATGTGAACCCAATTACCAATTTGAGGTATTAGTCTTGTTTAAACTCCACTGTTATTTTATATTTCTGCATTTCAAAAAGCTATTGGTTCATTAACTATGTTTTAACGGAGAGTTTCATCTTACTGATTGATCGCTCCTTTTTCATGAGATAATGAATTTATCCATTTCATGCTCAAAAATATATTTACCTCATTTGGCATAAATACTCACCAACATTTTAGTCTAATAATAGAAACAACATTACTATTATCAAACATCTTAAACTCAGTCCAGCTTATACTAATATATTAAAATCTACCCATGCAAAATGCTATTTATCACCATTGACTTCATGATCGCACATATTTTTAGAGAAACTAATTTTTGTGTGGATTTTCTAACAGATATAGGATTAAAATCTAAAGTTGTCAACTGATATAATTTTCTACACAAAGACATTAATTTCGATTACTTGTTAGACAAAAGTGATATCCCTAAGTTAAGACTTTGTCATTAAGAAGTTTTTATTTGGTCCCTCTCTCGTGTCTCTTGTAATCTTTTTTCTTTTTTGTTTAATATATTTTGATTTATTCAAAAAAACATATGAGTTAGTATCTGGTATAATTTTCTACACAAAGACATTAATTTCGATTAATTGTTAGACAAAAATGATACCCCTAAACTAAGATTTTGTCATTAAGAAGTTTTAGTTTGGTCCCCCTCTCGTGCCTCTGTAATCTCTTTTCCTTTTTGTTTAATATATTTTGATTTATTAAAAAAAAAACATATGAGTTAGCATCTAGTATTAGTAATTCATCACGAGCCATATGATAAAGCATATGCTATTTTAAGATTTACAATAATTATATTTGTCTTTTTTATTCACTTTAAATTCATTTGATATTACTCCTAGTCGTAATTAAATTGTCAATTTTTTTTGTCATTTGTATTGTTATATTTTTGAAGGGCCTATAAGAGGTGACATGGGAGACAATTGAAGTAGCATCTCATCCGCAATATCCTCATAGTCGCCTGTTTCCTAGTTTGAGTGCCCATTTATTGAAGGTGGCACCATTTCCTTTGATACATTGCCCACTTTCTGGGCGACTTGCCCGAAGCATGCAACTGTGGGAAGGGGTGTGTCCCTGATTCATAATAGTGTGGAAGAAGTCATGGGGAAATTTAACCATACTCTCAAGAATAAGAGGGAATCAACTATCAACTCTCACATTCTCTCAAAGTAGTTGCTACTCTCAAGAGGCCTAAGTTTGTTTGCAATAGTTGGAGACTAAGAGAAATCCCATGTGCGTAATCAAAGGTTGAGATAGAGGTTGATTTGGTGGTCTGGTGATAAGTGCAAATTGTAACTATTTTTGTATATACTTTTTGTTGCACTTATCGACTCTTTGATTGTTAATATCAGTTAAACAACTCAACTTTGTGTTTAAATACACTTAGTTTGTATATAATGCGTTTTTGTGTACATAGTATATCGATTGATAGTTTTGTATTTATTGGTATTTGAGCATTGTTGGAGGAAGAGGAATAAAAGCTTCAAGATGTATTGTTGGATCAATAAAGGAATAAGGCCAGGAAGAGAGAGTCATTTGAAGTTGTGCAGACTAAGCAACAAAATTTGATGGACTGGTGTGCATCGACGAGCAATGGTCGGGCGATGGGCATCACGTCTGTGTCGGTTAGGTTTGTGGTTTATTTATCTTTTTCTTTGTATATTCTCTTTTAGTTGGGTTTATATGTATATTTACTTTGAACTCATATATATTTGTCGTTCATGGCGTTATATAAAACTTGCTTTACAAATCTTTGTTGAGTATTGTCCTAGATTTTTGCTTTGTGCTCAGGGTTTGGGTTACTATAGACATATACTGCTCGAATTCTTATCTAGGATGATTATCTAATAGTGTCTGGATTCTAGAGATAGATTTAGTGCTATTATTTACTTGGGTGTCTGTGATTAATGCCTCTGTGTTGGTTGTGTCGTGCTGAGAGATCATCGACGCGAGTAGCACGGTTGACTTCTGAGTTATTAAGGTTGGTTGAGAGATCACCGCTGAAATGATATAGTGGGTGTATCGTTTGACACGCGATGACATTGACGAGTATTGTAGGTTAAGTATAACTGGTCGATAGGTTTAAATCTGTGAGGAGTAGTATATATACACTCTTGATAAATTATTCCTTTTTCTTTTGTTTTGTTTACATTTATTTTCTGTTGATAATTTTTACCATTTTCATTTTACCCCCAAACTCATTAAAGAATGGTTTGTCGAACAACAATTCAATAACCAATCTCTGTGGACACGATATGATATATCCTAAATATCACCCGATAAAATAATACTTTACTTTTTGCTTGCCGCTTTACCGCTTCAACAAAATAGCGTCGTTGCAGGGGATTGGTTTATTGTTTTGCATCGCGATAATTCCTTTGTTTTTAAGTTTTGTAATTAATGTATATGTTGTATAGAAATTGTGCATGAACTTGTTTATGTTTACTTATGAATTTATTTGTGTATGTTTACCCCACTTATACATGTTTTCTATAGTTGTGAATTTGTTATGTCATTGTTTGTTTGCTTTCACGTTTGCTTG